CACTGAGCAATGAACCGTGAAAATGAGGTCAAGGTCAAATAAAATCTGCCAGAATGACATGAACATCATAAAATATTTCCATACACCAAATATAGTTGACCTATTGCATATAGTATTAGAAAAAAAGACTAAAACACAAAAACTTAATTTGACCACTGAACCATGAAAATGAGGTCAAGGACAGATGGCACCTGCCAGTTGGACATGTACACTTTGCAATCATGCCATACACCAAATATAGTAGACCTATTGCTTATAGTATCTAATATATTGACTTGACCACGGCAACTTAACCTTGTCACATCACTGATCCATGAAATGAGGTCGAGGTCAGATGAAAACTGTCTGACAGGCATGAGGACCTAGCAGGGTACGCGTATATACTAAAAATAGTTATCCTAATACTCATAATATACTATTTTCATGTTACCGACTTTTGACTCCGGATTATATATGGTACCAAGTCAGGTAAGAGCAGGCTAAAGAAGTAAAACCAAGCTTTCAATCGGTACAATTTTGGGGGAAAATTACCTGGTTAATATTTTTTTTTTTTCACTACAAAATCATCGGAAAACAGTAAACTTTCCCCTCAAATTACACCGATTATATGTTTGATTTTACTTATTTTGGTTGCTCTTACTTGACCGAGTACCATGATGTCCAAGGTAACCAGTCGACAAATTATATAATCCGGAGTCAAAAGTCGGTAATATGAATATAGTCTATTAGAGAGAAATTAACATTACAAAAAATCTGAACTTTTTTTCAAGTAGTCACTGAACCATGAAAATGATGTCAAGGACCATGGACATATGACAGACGGAAATTTCATAACATCAGGCATCTATATACAAAGTATGAAGCATCCAGGTCTTCCGCCTTCTAAGATATAAAGTTTTTAAGAAGTTTGTTAACGCCGACGCCGGATCACTATCCCTATGTCGAGCTTTCTGCGACAGAAGTCGCAGGCTCGACAAAAAACATGATAATCATTGTTTTTACCTGTATAAGGATGAGTTTTTATGGATCGAAACTAAATGGTTTACCCTTGTTTCACTTTCAATGTTGAAATTCTTTTCCTTTAAATAGATGAGCACGCCTAATTTGCGTAACCCATCTCTAGCTAAGGGGTTAAATTAAAGGTCATATAAATACGGATTCAAAGAGGTAAAATTATTCACTAGCAAGTGAATAATTCATCAGCGATGTTTCTTAGCCTATTTTGATAAAATTGAACCAAACTGGCTGCTAAAATCGAATTATTATTTCAGTAATTCACTTTCATTAATGATTGAACAAAAAAAAATCATATTTTAATTTTTGTTATATCTCGTAGCTTTTGTCCCTTTAAGAACATATTACATTGTATTTCTGAATATATGTGAATCATATGAATTTTTAAGAACCCTGCATTTGACTTCATTAGAATTTAAATGCTTCCTCCAGAAAGTATAAATAAACAGAAATACTGTCATGTTACCTTTTAAATTCCAAGTGCACCCCGTATAACCCCGATACAAATGAATCCGGACGTTGTACCACGGAGTTCAAACAGAGAAGAATATACAATTTTTAAGGAAATTCTAATATTTCTTCTTCGGATATTTTGCGTCAATATGTTCTTTGCTGTATTACTCATCTCTTACTGGAAGATTTTCTTAAATATTTTATATTTTTATAGGCAAATTACAAAAAAAAAACGCACAACCTTGCCACTGATAAAAGCATGCTCACTATTTTTAATAATTATAAATTTCAAGTTTCCCGTGTCTCATATCTTTTAAAACATACATTTTTGATAATATTATAGTTAAGACTTATCAAACTTGTAAAGACTGTAGGTTTTTGTGTTATCTAGAAACAAAAAAATGCATGTTTTTACATGTCTTTATTTTCAAATTGTGTAAGCTTCGTTATCTGTAGACTTTTTTATACTGTACGATTCGTTGCTAAAACATTGTATTTGTCATATGAATTTTGCATGTATTAAAAAATGTTGTCATATGTGGATAACAATATACATGTTTAAAAAATGATTTACCACTATCGGCCATCATATATAATCTCCGTTGCATAGTTGAAATACACTTGGAAGTTCTCTTGTACATGTAAAAAGTGTCATAATCAGTATGAAAGTGTAAATTGGTTAGAAAATACAAAGTTCGATAAATTACAGATATAAATGGCTGAGTGTACGGATAGACGCGTGCGACTTCCCATTTGATGACATATTTTTAAACGTTTACCGTACGACATTCAACCATAAGCAAATCCCCTACCGTATAGAATGAACAAACGTGAGCTAATTATCAAAAACAAGAGGCCTAATTTATACTACAAGAAGAAATAAAAACACGTCAGACAGCAATTAAAAAACAATGGGTTATAGGCTCTTGACATGGATCAGATTTTTTTTTACTTTTGCGCAATTTCCTTAATAGGTAAATATATAGATAATTCATGATAAATTTGTCAGTTATTAATAATTTTGAATTATACATTTTCCATATCAAATTCTCAAAAATTATATTAAGTGATCAAGAGAAATCCCGTTAGCTCTTAGACATACATGAAACTTTATTGCGACGTACGGTGGCCTATAAAAATCTAGCTCAACTGTGGTGTGTATTTGTTTATTCCAAATTGACTAGAGTTTTAGGGGGAGTTTGAGATCTCACAAAACATGTTTAATCCCGTCATATTTTTTACGCCTGTCCCAAGTCAGAAACCTCTAGCCTTTGCTAGTCTTGTGTTTTTTCAGTTTTGAATCATTTGTAGTCATTTTCTTAGTGTCAAATGGCAAACATTTCATGCATGTTCAGGACGCGAACAAAGTAACAATAAATACAATATGTAGGTTCTATAATAAGGGTTGATCGGGATGAATTTTGGGGCCGGGTAGGGGGTCGGACTGCTACTGCAAAATGAAATTTAGCCTTGCAAAATGCCACCTATGGACCCCTCAAAGGGTTGTTGTAAGGGTTCTTACAGTTCAGAGGGAGTGGCACTCTCTAATCGAGCCATCGGATTTCCGTTCGGAAGAAAGACCAATGTATGACCATTTTCCTATAACCCAGTGAACCCTTTTGGTTTGCACTTGCATTATGTTTACACTAAGAAATTCAAGAACTCGTTTCTGCTTTTGCTTACAGTCATCAAAGAAAAATTAAATTTAAATCAATTTTGTAACTTAAGGGTTACCATTTTGTTGCTACCTTCATGACCTTTATTATCAAAGAAAAATGAAACGTTTTGAACTTTAGTATTGGTATTGGCGACACTCCCTTGAAAAATGTATGGGTCCGCCACTGTCAATGATACAGGGAAACAATACAGCGGGATTAAACATGTTAGCAAGTAAATCCTATACCCAACCTTAGACGGTGGTGTAAAACACAAGATAAGAATTGACAATAAAACAGTTGGAAAGGACTTTACTCGTCATCTAATGCATTCGGTATACAATGTTCAACAAGCTCATCTGATTGTTTTCGTTTAGGCGAACTTGGACCAGCATCTGCATTTGAGAGAGGATCAAAATCGTGAGAGTAAGAGATATTGAAGTTTTATTGGCTTTAATATATATATTTTTTTTACTTTATTTCATCAAATTTCTAGTCTTCAATAAAAAAAAATTGCCTTCAGATGTGCGCTGGATAAAACATTTCAATTATGGCTTTGGATGACTGATAATTTCATGATTGACCACTTCGACAAGCGTTACAGATGCATTTACAATAAAACACAGAAAAAAGGTTCTGCTGCGTTCACGAATACATTGAAGAGACAGGGATTTGTGGCGGTTTTTGTCAACGAATTGTACAGATTATTTGTAAGAGAGCAACGAACTTAGCATATTTGGTGAAACGAACGATACAGTATAAGATGAGCTTAATTAAAACGGTATCATGTTTATTTAGACTTCTAGGGAACATTTAAAGGCACGTGGTAATTTTACGTGTAGTGGTTAATCATTGCTTTAAGAATTGCTCTACAAAAGTTAATGTAAAAAAAGATATTGAACAATGTTTACCTCATAAAATGTAGAAAATTGCACTATGCCTTTGCGATTTGTATCGAGCATCTTCATCTAATGTTTTTTTTACAAAATCTAAAACTTGCAACAACTTTATAATTGATTAGATAAACTATCATGTTCATGTACACCTTCATATATACTGACATAAGTTCTAGAAAGGCATTCGAAATTGTTGTCACCCCAAATGATGTCTTGATTATCGCTTCGAACATGTCAAAGTCCGGATTCATTTGTATCGGGGTTATACGGGGTGAAGTGTATGCCAATTACTTAATGCCTTACTTATATAATTAGTTCTTAGAAGGGAAGAGCAAACATAGTTCTGATATCTTTTGACAAAGGTGAATACTGAAATGACTATAAGTACATACAAATTTGTATCACCAACGTAGTTTAATCAGAACAAAATATGATGAAAATTATATGTTTTGCCAAGCCTGGATACATTTGGTTCAGTGATTATGAAGACGACAAGAATATGTCTTGAAATTCAAAGTAATGTTACATAACATATTCTGCTTGATGGAAGACCTACACTTTGAGTAAGAACAACACACAAGGTTAAAAATCCCTACGAAACTGTTATCTCTATTCAGACGCATTTTTCTTACTCTAGGCCGACCAGTCTACTCCTAAATGCCTTATGCTTGGAGGAGTGTCAGCAAATATCAGTTTTTATTGTTTTTTGGTTTAACATGTTTAACCCAATGCTAATCTAGCAGACCGATTCCTGCACTGGATGGAAGCTTGCTACCTTGAGATCAGCATGGGGCTTAATCAAGTAGAAAATCGATAATATAGATACAACAATCTGCTGAAGTTTGGTTTCAATAGGCTTTGTTAAAAATGGGCACTATTGTATGTACACTGACTGAGTGACCACCAATGACCAGGATGACCATTCCTATTGATATTGTGTCGGGTACAAGGAAAGAGATGGACTAAACAAAAAAGAGAAATATTTTATGAGTATAATTAGTTTATTGCTTTAATATTTACAATAATTGTTAAGTACTTTACAATATGTAAAAAAAAGTATACAATTAAAAATTCTGAAGATACAGAATATTCTAACACAACCACACTTGGAGCATCATTCCTTCAGCATAAACTCTATATGAGTTACAGCATAAACTCTATGAGTTACAGCAATAACTCTGTGAGTCACAACATAAACTCTATGAGTTACAGCATAAATTCTATGAGTTACAGCATTAACGTCAATGGTGCCTGTAATTCTTTATTCATCTCTTACAACTTTTGGGGGAGACAAAACCAAACTTTATCTCTACTCATCAATTTGATATCAAAGCAATACTCTAAATTAGTTTCCCCTTCAGCAAATAGAAATGATATGACATTCAAAAACAAAAGGTGTGTACTTTAATGTCATGACGGTTTGTATGATTTTTACAAGGACTAACACTTTATAGATTTTATAATTTAATACAAAGAATATAATAATTTTAAATTTGTATGTTTGGAGTATTGTAATAAATAAAGCACCATATTTATATTTACATTGCATTTCTGTCCTTTTCTTTCTCTCTTTTTTCACCCCATAACTTTTAGCTTCAAGGATAAGTTTTTTGAAAGATGTTTATAATTATTTAAAGCATTTTTATAGTATTTACATGTAATTGTTGTCTTACATTGTACTAGTATTTAGGAAGTTCTACTTCCATACATAAACAAGCAATAGAAATATGAAGTCTCATAATGCAACCAAGAGACTAAGGCAAAAAAAAAAAATGTCTATTTAAGGTTACATCATAAAAAACAGGGTAGGTAACCATAGTTAGGTTGGTATTTCCATTTTATTTATTTTGTTTTTCATTTTATTTTCTGCAACATGATTTTGAGTCGTACAGTCTGTCATGCCATGTTTCAGAGTTGTCCATGGGCTGAGTTTACCCATAATTTTAAGGATTGGATATAATTTCCTTGGTTATTGGTTGGAAAAAAATGGCAGCAAAGTGTTTATTTCAACATATGAGTCACAAGTTTTCTTAAAACAGCTGTCATATTCAAGATTGTGAACATTGGAATGTATAAGGCAATTGATTTAATCTATTGGAAACTCTTAACTTCACTTACAATTAATTTTTCACTTTACAATGGAAATAAAAATGACTTAGGGTCAGCGTTCAAATTAGGGTCAGTCGGGTAACAGTAAATAGACATATATTTTATTTTGGCCTAATATTTATGAAAGTTATAAACCATTCTAAGAAAGTGTATATATATGGTAAATGAAACAGAGTCAAGGGCCAACAAGACTTTTTTTTTGCCCAATTAAATTTTGTTTATTTAAGAATATATGAAAATCAAGATCTGTTTAATAAGTTTTAAAATACATCTGACAAAATTATTTTCTGTTTAAATTTTATAAATAAAACTGTCTTTAATGAAGAAATGGTGGAAAATAGGTAAAAAAGGTTGACACTGTTGAGATTATGAATATCACCAAATAATTGCCATTCAATATTCCCCATAACTTCATATTTATATCTTGCTTAATCAGCCATACCTTTCATTAGTTAATATGGGATATTTGTAGGTATTTTGTCACGGATGATAAACAAACATTTCATTTAAACATGAAAACATAGATCATTTGAATATTTTCTTAGCTTAAAATCGGTCAGTAAAATTTAAAAGTCATGTATTCCTACAATAAAAACATTGTTGGCAGAAGCCTAGAATTTAAATTGGACAGAATTAAAGAATTGCATGATTAAAATCATAAAACTATCATAAATGCTATACTGTGGCTTCATAAATATTCGTGGGATAACAATTTTTGTGGATTTTGTGGGTTCAGGTGAACCATGAATTTCAATGTTCAATGTAGTACACATTTTTTAAAGGCTTGTATTCATTTTTCTTAAACCATAAAATCACAAAATCCACAAAAAAAATACAGTTTTCCATAATCCATGCAAATTGGTACCCACAAAAAATAAATGAATCCACTCTAGTTAACCAAACTTGGAAAAATCTGGTAAAAAATTGTGTTCACAAATAAAAACCTGAAATTGACTGGTGAATAATTTCAACAATTTGTTTACAAATAAAAAAAGAGGTAAATAGCCAAGTTTTAACTTGATTATTAATCCACAGCACTTTATTGCCTTATAATATTACTAAAATATCTTTTCCCTCTACAAAATATCTGGCTATATCACAGCTTCACCTGAAATAAAACATAAAAAAATAATAAATATTTCAATGATTTCGTAAAATATATGTTTACAATGGATTCATATGTAATGAAATAAGGTTTCTGACATAGTAAATACTTAGTTCCTCTAACATACCTTTACGTCCAAATAATTCTGGAAAATTCTATAGAACACCAGTTTTCTTAAAAGGGTAGAATTGATAAACAAAAAAATAAAAACCATCTTCAATACTGTAATGTCTCTTTATAAAAATAAGGAGATGTGGTATGATTGCCAATGAGACAACTATCCACCAAATTTAAAATGAAGTGGAAGTAAGCAGAGACATGTATACTATATATATATGTCTCTGACGTAAGCAATTATAGGCAACTGTACGGCCTTCAACAATGAGAAAAACCAATACCGTATAGTCGGCTATAAAAGGCCCCAACATGAAAAATATGAAACAATTCAATTGAGAAAACTAACGGCCTAATTTATAACAAAACAATTAACAAAAAACAAATATGACCGACATGAACCAACGACAACCACTGAACTACAGGCTCCTGACTTGGGACAGGCACATAATGAATGTGGCGGGGTTAAACATGTTTGTGAGTGCTCAACCCTCCCCTTTCCTGGGACAGTGGTGTAACAGCACAACATAAGAACAAACTATAACCAGCTACTTAAAAATACCAGCTCAATCTTTACAAAGATGACAGTGGGTAAAATACTGCAAAAAATTCCTTTTAAGTTAAATGGAACAGAATCGACTGAAAGTAAACCTAAGAAAATATGTTGTTTTTTTGCTGATGAATAATTATTAAGGTAAATAGTAGTTGAAAAAAAATGCAAGTCATTCTATAATATTACCTTTTAAGATAATACATACCAAGTTTGTTTAAACATAGAGTAATTTAGGAGTGTATTTTCACAAATGTTTCTTTATAAATATACAGTTTATTTTTGTCTGCAAAAAAGAAGAAAGAAAAAAGGTGCCAATGTTAAAAGTGAGAATCATTTCCTGCCAATTTTTCAATGGCTTATATCTCGAAAACAAGGACATGGGGTGTCATAGTTTCATGAAGTTTTACTTATTTGTTCATATACAAATATATAATCTATTAACACTTAGTTGTGATTGACTTTAAAGTATTCTGATATAAATATTACCATTATAATTTACACGATGCCAGAATATCTTCACACAGTTTTTTGTAATGCCAGGTATCCCCTTTTACTCTCTTTCTACATACACCAATATAAGGCATTTTAGGCAACGAGCATACTTCCAAATCAAATGCCAATTGAACTCGTCTCCAATCATCCATTACCGTACATCGTAAAGTGTAGCTGAAATTATAAAACCATTACATGTATGACCAAAGTAATTGGGAAACAGTATATTTCTATGCTATCCTCTCTCTGCTTTATAACAGATTCAGCAATTTAAAGTTCCTTAATTTTGAGAATTAAATACACATTAAATATCATATTACAAACTGTTCAATTCATTCATTTTTGTTCATGTACAATAACTTTATCATTCAAAGAATTGTAGTGACCACTGGCAGACCTATTTGGAAAATCACCGCGATTTTTGTAAAAACTCCGGTGTTTTTTGGCTAATCTCCGCGAAACGGATAAAAATTAGAGGTTCATCGTAAATTTGCTGTATTACAGGATATTTTGCATGTTATCCGGAGATTTTCCGTGTCGGCGGGAATTAGCCGTTTGTCCGATAAAACTGGTGTGTATTGAGTCATTGATAGAATCACTGATGCGTGAACGACGGTTATTAATAGGTCGTTGTATAATCCGTTATGCGTGAGCGACGGTTATTTATAGATCCTTGTAGTGTGGTACAAATTATGATATATAGATGTTTACAGAATTAAAAACAAAGTAACTATAATCATTTGAGATATAAGGAATTTTCAAAAATATATCATATAATGTTTCTGTAAATTTAGAGAGAAACAGATTATATATATCTGGGGATTAGATGGTTACTTTTTTTAATTATATGTCAGAGGCCGCAGATCATTTAATTGCTTCTAGAACCGTTTATTGAAACAAAAATTAAATGAACGGCCAGGGGAAAGTCTTTAGTAACCTTAGTTGGTATCAGGGGTCAACTGGGTTGAGTTCAATATCGTAGCAGCTACGTAGCGGCTATGTAGTTGCTATCAATATATATGTAGCAGCTTATCTATAGCTACACGTTCAATAGTAAAAATCTACATAGCACTACGTAGCCGCTACGATATTGAACGCAACCCTGGTAATACATAGAGTCAGACCGTCGTTGCATAATATGTATATGTATTTACACACAATGCAGTGCATTCAAACTCGATTTCGCAAACTCGTGGGTTGTCTTTTTAGACAAAAAAGTTCAATTTAAAAGATATGAAAGTTGCGTACATGTATACAAGCATAGATATAATAGCCATTATATCTATGATACAAGGAATTGTATATTTAACGTCAATGCCTGTCTTGTTAACTAATCTGTTACACTTTGAAATGTAAATAAGTTCTTTTTAAAAGATTGGACGGTTATTTCACATGAATAAAAGTTCTTCTGATCATTTTTGTTTTACAATGATTTTTGAAAGTGCGATCTTAAAACTAAGTTTGTCCGGACTTGCATGGAATATTTGCCACTGGAAGTTAAGCAACCAACAATCAATCATCTTAAAATAAAATAAATATGCCTGAGCGATAATATTCTTAAATTTTTTAATGTGAAACACAGTTTCTTCATTTATTAGAAATCACTTTCAGGTCTAATGGTAAAGTGAATATACATTCCGGGATGAGATTAATTTACTATAATTGCCAAAGAAAAAGAAATGATATTACGTTTCTTTTAATTAAATTTTAGACTGCAACAAATGTAGATCGAACATTTTTAATAATGAAATAATGCACGTCAAAAATTTCGCTCACAATAGAGATGTAAAAAATAGATTTTATCAATTGTGTCACTGCACGAGATTTTCCAACGGCGGGAAATATCATGTAGCTATAAACACAGGTGATGTTACTGACCGATTGTGGAATGTCAATTTAGGGTTAAATTTGATGTGTAATGATTGACATTATTGTGCGCGTTAGGTTGAGGCTCTAGAAGGTTCATTTCAATTGATAACCAAAATTATAAAATCAAGTTTTTTTTTCAAATCAACGTTTAAGTGTAAAATTTTGTGGGAGGGAAACTTTATTTTGTTTGTTTTTTAGGGGCACAGGGAGTTACCATAAAAATCTATAGGAACATTGAATAAAACAATTTCGAAGGTCACAACTTGTAAACTAATGAAAACAATGATAAACACTGCTGACAAGCGTAAACAGTTGTACGTTACTTAGAAAATAGAGAGAGTGAAAAAAAAAGGACGTTGATGATGGTTACTGTTCATGTTAATTTTGAAAGATCGTGGTAACTGATTTCTGGGATGGTGGTACTTGCCAAAAGGTTGTATAAAAGGACAAACTAAGTACAATTTTAGCCGTGATATATGGGGGCCCCTCACGCTTGAATTAATTTACGTTACGTATTTCGTCCTTTATTATGACTTACAGTTGATCATAGTTGAGTACTACGTGTCGGTCAGGGGCGGATCCAGACACTGTGAAAAAAGGAAGGGTGTGCTAGCAAGGGTTTCTCAGAAAAAAGGGGGTGCTAGTACAGTTGGCCTAATGTATTTGAAGGCCAGGATTGGAAGATTATCAGACATTCTGTGGCTCAATTTTAATTTTATTTTCTAACTGTGAAGTGCTACTACCTAAGCCGTGGCCTGGAGAACCATACCCAATTTTTTAAAAGGGTGTTCCAAAGGCATATTGAAATACTTCCAGCATTAAACAGGTCCTGAGGTACAATTTCTTGGGGAGGAGATTTCAATTGCTGTTATGTGGGTCAATTTTTTGTTACTAGGAATTTTCGTTTTTTTTTTTCATCAGATTTGCCCCAATTGTCTATTCTGTTAAGGTTTCACAAAAGTCAAAATATATAACACTTCATAAACATCTGAACTTTGCCTGTATTTTTCAACCTATAATGAATAAAGTCCTAAACTATATGCAAATATCTTCATTTAAACATACTTAAACATATGCACACCGTGTAAATTGTAAATAAAATTGAAATTGTTATGTTGTGGCCAACCCGGTTCTTGGGGTGAACACCAAATTTTCCAAAAGAAATCTGGAGATCTATTCTGATCCCCAATTTGATGAGAGAAAAAAATATTGTGGTCTGGCAGTTGACAAAAAAAATCGGAATTCCAGAGTTCCCCATACCGTTTATTTCAAGAAAAAAATGTTTGGTGCATGGCAGTGGGGAATAACGTTGTGTTCCGAATTATTTCCGACTCAGAACAAACCCCTAACCCTTTGAATTTAAATGTTGCTCCTATATACCTTACTATCGTGAATTTTCAATGTTTCATGTATATTTCAGGTCAGATCCCAGGGCATACTATGTGTTCAAAATTATAAAAACGTAGAAAATTCATGATTCATGTACGTGTAATATGTCTCAAGAAAATGGATTGAAGGCATATTAATTATCAAATTATTTATTTGTACAAAAAAAAAACACATAGGCAATGAAAACCGTGTGTGCGCCAAGAAAGGTCAATACGTATGACTCAACTCGGAGGCTGATTTAGGGGCAGGCTGTCCAGATCCCTCCTTATGGAACTACATATGGTTAATTTTGACTTTTATTTACTTGTTTCACTTACCCGAATAATTCAGTCGTTATATTCCGCTGATCTACGATTATTTCATTAACAAGTATATAGAAGAGATCGATTACGGAGAGAGACTGAATTTTTCGGGGTTAGTTCCACTCCGACCTTTTTTTAGTTTATACAATAAAGCAAGTCTATTTAATCCATTTCTCCGCTGTTTTCGTTATATATAGCACTTTCCTCATACTAAGGTTAGGTTTCAAAGAGTGGATCATTAATATGAACATGTCGGGGTCTTTTAGAGCTGACAATGCGGTATGGGCTTTGCTCATTGTTGAAGGCCGTACGGCGACCTATAGTTGTTAATTTCTGTGTCATTTTTGGTCTCTTGTGGAGAGTTGTCTCATTGCCAATCATACCACATCTTCTTTTTTTATATATAATAACAATATCATAATTACAAATACTAATTCTCCTTACGTCATCCGAGAATACACGTGTCTTTTCTTTAGGCTAAAGCGCGAGTAGATGGTCAGATATATATATGGAATTTTGAAAGGACCTTGACTGGCTACACAGCCCTTGCACGATCTGATCGATGGTCAGAAAGATGACCGTCAAGTTCTAAGTGCACACAAATGGTCACATGTCATGAATATCCATGAACGTACAACGAACTAAATTTTATATATACGAATCCTTGCTGTACCACAGGTGTCCTTGTGTAATGAAATTTTAGGGTATTGGTGCATAGTCAAGTGATTAGATAAACTTGGATAATCAATGAGAGAGAATGAATGACCATTTTAAGTTAATCCAGGGACTTTCTATTGATTGTTGTTTGCTTAACGCTGCATTAGCACAAAAATGCTATATCGCGGCGAGAGCTTATTCCAATATTTTTACAATTTAAGGTATATTTTTAAAATCAGACAAAAAGGTCCTTCAATAAACTAAAAATCTAGACTAAAGGGACTTTCTATACTAACGGGATAAGATAAGATAAAACTTTTTTTTATTAAATAATGAAAGCTTTTTCAGATGAAGGGAGTGTCGGACATAGTTTTAACTCTAAATGAAACTGTTCTTTAATTCATAAATAATAAAACATAAAATTAAAGGCATTTTAGACCCTTCCTACAAACGGAAAAGATGAGCATGAAAAATAAGTGAAAGGGGGGTGGGCATAAGTGACTGGTTACGAATTAATTTTAATAGTAGTTCACCGTGCAAGAAGTTTTAAAGTACTAATGGAATAGTGTGACAGAAGCGGATTTAGAGGGGGCCAGGTACCCCTTTTCTTGAAAGAAAATGTGGTTGATTATACATGTATTGGGAATCACTGAAGCATGACTGAAGCGACCCCCTCTTAGGCAGTCAGTGCATATGAAAATTTCTGGATCCGCCACTGGTGTGCTAGCTTATAAATGATATATTTTTTACTTCCTTTATTTTTTTTAATCCTTACTCCGTCTTTGTGAAATAATCGAGACTTCATCAGGTATACACGCGGAGAAATAAAATATTGAAGTGATTTGAGTACCGATATATGAAATGTCTCCTTGGTAGCTGGTATCCCTTGTGGGATTAATAAATTGAACTCATGTGTGCCGGAATAGGTAATTAATATATTTTATTTTTTATTATTTG